CGGTCGTCGCGCCGCCGCGTGCGGCCGCTCGCGCGGGGTCGCGAAACGGAAGTCTCCCGAAGGACGCGAGACTTTTGAATTTGACGTTTTCAATAGCGAATTTCTCCCAATCCACAATAATCTGTGTGAGCCGAGGATATCAAATTTAAACTCACTCACACTGGCTCCTTCATAGAAAATGGTGACAATTCTTCCCGAATTCATTGTCGCAATATTGAAAAACGCAAGCAGAGAAAAGGTCAAGAGGATCGAAACTACCCGCGCATTAACTGAGCAGGTCTTTTTGGCGTCCTTTCGACTCTCAAACTTGAATGACGCTCACAGGAACTCGTCCACTGCAGCTGCGATCAGTAGCGCGGGGAGACGGATGATTCTGCTGGCACCCCCTTCTAACGACGTGAACGCACATAATTTTCGACGAGATCGTGAAATGTCGGGTCTTTACTACTCGGACCCCATTATACTTTTTATGCATGTACAACCCAACTAGACATAGGAACAGCACCCTCATGGAGTACAAGGGTTCACTTACCCTTCAGCATCCCACCGTGTATAACTAGTAAATGAACCTCACCATGGTTTTATCTCGTAAGTGGCAATCTTTTTTATTTTTAGTTATCCGCATACAAACACTGGTGCAAACTCATTAGAAATATGGTGATATTTGTTATCTGTGATATTTTTGTACCCATTAGTCATTTCCTGGATTTGAGAAGGTACGGTAGTTCATCCATCCCTGCTGTGGGCCGTAGGCTATTCTTCCGGGGGAGGCGAAAATCTCTGCTACGGGGGAAAACCCCGAAGCAGACTAGTCCGATTCATAGTATATGCTAGAGCGCCTTCGTTGGCCGACTCTCTTGGGAAGTGTCTCACACTCCACATCTATATCAGACGTCATCGGAAGACGGTCATATGGCGCGATCCCATTGGCATTAGAGCGCACAGGCCGCAATTGCCCCATCCTGCTGCGGCCGGACAACTCGTCCGTATCACTCAACTACTAGACTTCAGTAATTGATCGATCTGATAATTTGGGTCTCAAAAATCTCGCTGAGTCCCAAAGATCTAAAAAAGAGCGGATAGCTTCGCTGGCCTGATGCCAAGGCAAGAGGAACGGAACAGAATGTGTTGCGCGGACGAGTTGTCCGGCCACTGCAGGATGGTAATTACGGCCTTGTGCGCTCCAATGCCAATGGGATCGCGCCATATGACACACACCGACGTCATCCTACTGAATATACATTCGTGGCGGTTAGGACTATGCTATCGTATGACGTGGCACGGCTAACGTGCGGTTGCCTTCAGGTGATAGTGACAGTCACTTGGTGAACGCCTTGGCTCCTCCATTGTTCGAAGCGCAGACGAAAAATCCCCTCGTAGTTACCGAAAATTATATTGTAAGAGGAGTTCCGTCTACAATATATTCCATTCCAGCCATAGGAAGTACTTGTGCAAGGACGCGCTATAGAGGAGAAGTGAAGGTCGTGGCAGAGAGACGCAGAAGCACCAGTGGCTGGGATTCAGTGTAGGAGGCTGAAAAATTGCCAAATTCAGCGCAACGTCATCTTCAGCCTCATGGGATGTTCTCCAGATAACCACTGGAAACCCCTTCCTAGCTACAGGAATGAGATCATCAGGTATTCCATGATCAACGACAAAGACTGGTGATAGAAGTCCAACAACTATTCTTAGAACTTAAAGAAGTTACTTTGTCTGCCCTCACAACAGCCAAACACCAGTTTTTGAAGGTGGCTTAGTAATCGCATTTCTAGTATGGAATAGTGAGTATGGTGAAACACGTGTAGCCTGGGGATATGGGAGGGGGAGTTGAATATAACCCCTTTACATGGCGTACAATTGAGCAGACAAAGCGCAGAGGGCCTGAACTCATAGTTAGGGAATATCCGACGAATACAAGTATTACCCAGGAATCACATATATCATTTGAAAGTACTTCTTCTGCTCTACAGTACCATGTTTGGCATTTTCTTCTATACTGTAAGTGTACTCAGATATGGCGCTTAGAAGTTGGAGAATCAAGGTGGGCGAAAATCTATATAGAGAAAAAAGCTGCCAAAATAGGAGTTTTTCGGAATCCATTCGTCATCATCGAAGTAACTGCACTCCAGTCCCCGTCCGAGCCGACCTCAGTGCAACCAGGTCCCTCAAAGGGTCTGCTTCTTTCAATACTAATGGCACTAACGGATATACAGGTCCTATTGGAAAACACCTGAAGTAAAGTTTTGGAGAAAGCTCACCTGGGAAAAGCCCAAAAAGGGCGTTTGAATCCTCAAAGATGGGTGTGGTTTTGGAAATTTCTTCGGGACCGCCCATTTGCCAGCAGTGATTGGCTACGGAGGCATTCGTGCGCGTATCGGGACCACAGGGGGTATTTGAACTCCGTTCTTTGAAAGGGAATCTTGCGCGGAAAAATCATGATTCTATTTCAGCCATAAATCACTGGCTTGAGACTCATTATCCACGATAATAGTGAAAAGAACTGAAGTATTGCTTTCGTTTTGATTAGAAATTCGAAAACTCGAAAAGGCTGCTACGCGTTCGAATTGCCCACGGACGTCTTCACGAATGCTGGCGACGGGGATGCTCAAACTTGGTTCTTGGAGTGCATTCACTAGAAGCTCTTTCTGGCCTTCTGCTTCGTTGCATTCACATCTTACACTTCTACTCCATCCTATTCCATCGATCGATTTGTCTCCACTCTCCGAAATCGCGCGCTTTAACCCGATTCTCTCATTGCGTCGCCTGGTACGTAGCCGGCCAAACGCCGTCTTCTTTCCATGCCTCGCCTGGCTCTGCCTCCTGGTCCTTCGATGGTCCATAACGTGTAGTTTTTGTACGTTTGTTTCTCTTCAGAAACCGAATCTTCATGCGTGAAACTTTGTGTGCTATTTCCAGTGATCACAACTGACATATTCATGTTAGGAAAGAGTGCAAGAATTTTCCGCGCAAGATTCCTTTAAAGTACAGTCATGTGATTGCTGCTTGGCGGTGCGCTGGGATTCTTTCTTTTTTTGGCATTTACTCTTTGCTTGCTTTCTAGTTGCTTTACTCTGGTTCTCCGTTTATCATATTCACATTATGTTCTTTGCAGTTTTATGAGTTGGTTGATAATGATTGATGGTTTTGTGGGCGAGTTTAGACAACATGCGTCTTCCCTCATTGCTAAGGAGAAGAAGGGGAGCCCTTGTTTAAGGCCCTGTGCGGCGTTTTTCTTCTAGTCTTTTCTTACTATCGCGTCCCTCTTTTTAAGCCTTGGAACACATGTTATCAACGATTTTACCTCGCGAATTCAGCCTGCCTGGGAATTGTTGCTTTAATTCCAAATCACACTCACGTGGTACAAATTGAGTAATGAGGGTTCTAAAAATGGGCTCACTACCCTTTTTTGATTTCAAAACCCGGTGAATTCTTTGCGAACCGGAACCAAAGGTCGTAAATAATGACGAGACAAGAAGATCACTGGTCAGTTTTATGCTTGCTTTATTTTGCGTTTGGCTTTAAAGGAGGATTTTACGATTAGAATGGAGGTCGAGGAAGAAGTAATTCACCTAGTTGAGTAACCCACGGACCTCCTGAGGGTGCGAACTGATGCGCAATTCGCATCGAAAATTTGACCTCGGCGACCTATTATGCCTCAAAGTTGGCGGGTCCGGCGATCTCCGCCCACCGATCATCTGATCACTCGCCGTAGTTCAATACGTGGCGAGTGATTAGATAGCTGAGAGAGCGTAGTGTTGAAGGAGGGCACAGCGATGAGAGTCGCATCAATGCGCAAATCAGCGGGCAAGGAAGGGGTCCCATTTCTCGGGTTCTGGGCCGTTTCTCATGGTTCTTCCTTCTTTCGTGTACCAATCACCATCCCTGAGTTAATTTGAAATGGGTTGCCTTCCCAGCGTGAATTCGTCCTTTAAAGCACGAATTTCGAGACGATGGAAAAAAAGCAAACCCATTTTCTACCTTAGCGAGGCGATGGTGTGTGGGTACACTAAAGAAGGAAAAACCATGAGAAACGGCCCAGAACCCGAGAAATGGGACCACTTCCTTGCCCGTTGATTTGAGCATTGATGCGACTATCATCGCTGTGCCCTCTTCAACGCTACGCTCTCTCACCTATCTAATCACTCACCACGTATAGACCTGCGGCGAGTGATCAGATGATCGGTGGGCGTGCACTGACCAGCCGCGGCGGGATTAAACCTTAATAGGTCAACGAGGTCAACTCCTCCTGTGCAAATTGTGCTTCAGTTCGCACACTTAGGAGCTCCGCGGGTCCCTCAACCAGGTGAATTCTTCCTAATTCGATTTTCCCTCTGATCGTGAATTCGTCCTTTAAACGTTTTTGCCGAATTAAAGCGCTACGATATTATGCTCCGACCCAATAGTTAGAAGAATGTTTTCTCCTTGCCATAGCGTTTTTACTCTGTGGCTGCATTTTGTTAGTGGTTGGAACTGTTTGTTTCTTCCTTCCCTTTGTGATCTGCTAACACAAGCTCTGGTTTTGTTTGGGCGCAACTTATTATTTCCAACCGACACGAGGCAGTATAAGGTTCAAGCTCCACAGTTGTTTGGAAAATGGTGCATGAAACGTTTTATGCAGTGGCATAAAAGGCTTTATGCAATACCAAGAATATGCGCTCATACACAAATGATCGTCTACTTCTTCTTTCCCTTTTTGCTCTTCTTGTCCTTCTTGCTTCGTTTTTCTCTCTTGCTACGTTTCCCTTTTCCTTTTTTCTTACGAGAATCTGTTGTTGTTGTACCGCCGCCTTTAGTAGTTGAACTTTTCGTAGGTCCCGAGGTGGTCGTACTGATGTCAGATTTTGAAGTAGTCGTCCCACTTTTGTTACTCTTGCTAGTGCGGCTACTTTTACTCTTTCCACTGCTGGTCGATGTCTTGCTTCTCTTTCCTTTAGCGCTCTTTTTGCCCTTCTTTGACTTGTTTTTGCCTTTCCCAGACTTTTTACTGCCTGAACTTTTACTGCTCTTCGAGCTCTTCGAACCCTTCTTTCTCTTGCTTCTTTTTCCAGCCAACACGAGGCAGTATATCAGCACCGGGATCAGAATGATTATCAAAACGATCGCCACTATACAGAGAATTAGGAAGATGATCCTGAAATGGAACAAATACGAATATGATCGAGCAACACTGTCAACAAAGTCCTTGCAAGAAACTGATCTACAATTTATTCTTTGCAAGTATGTTTCTACGAGTCAAAAGGGGCAACATACCAATCCATGGGGTTTTCATCCCAGTGAAGAGGTTTCGAGGAAGATTGATCACCTAAAATGTACAACCCTTTGTAAATCATTTTGAAAACGTAGTTTTTGGTGCTCTGGCTTCTACTTTCAGGAGCCGAGCTGAAGCATTCATTCTGCGCGTACTCTCACGTTCTCACTAATGGGTACTCTCACAAGCAAATTTAACAAGCTCCCTGCCTCCCCATGTAAATTAGCCGAAGAGAACTGCGAAGATGCGCAGATGTATTTCCTCTTATGGTTGGACTTTTGTTGTTTAGGAAGCTTCACTTCGTGATTGGATCTAGGAGCCGCTCCGTTTGGCTGGTTTATAAGTATACCGAGAGTAACTTGGCGATTATGATCTGGAGGCACATTCGTGAGCGAATGGAGGTACGTTATTGCCTTCGAAATCAGAAATAGGTATAGTGAATGGTCCGTCAATGATCGATGAAAACGAAAAAGAACTGCTGAAACCCCTCAAAATTGCGCTATTCCCTGATTGTACGGTTGGGTTTGGTCCTTTAAAGTACTGCACCAATTTTGTCTAGCAACCGCTGTGGACGAATCTGGCAAAGTGAACTGCGGTCAAGAGATGGGGCCGACTAAAGGAGGGAGACGTTCAGTTCTCCTCCTGGGTCAGGTACCACAGCTGCGCGATTGCTGAAACCTAAAGTTAAGTTTAGATATGAGGGTACATATATTGGTTATCTCGTGCCTAGAGTTATGCTTAGGCTTGAGCTTTAGCTTGCTAAGAGCAAACAATAGGTATTTCAATTGGAAGTGACCTAACCTGAAGAGAACTGACAGACACCCACCGAAGAATTCCCGTAGAGGAGGAGCGCAAACTCGCCCACATGCGCACTGCGTGACTTTTAGGAATCTCGTTTTTTGTTTCCTGTCATCACTGCCGGGACCTCGCGAAAGCGCTACATATGACACGACTGCTTAGGGAGAGCGACAAAATCTTCAACGCTTTTGAAACTAGAACTTGAAATTCTTTTGGTTACACTACCACTATGGATCAGATACTTCTATTTCGATTTTATACTGAATGATGACACATATGTACCACCGGAATCCTTCGTCTGTTTGGCGTTTGTTTGGTTACCCCCCTGCGAAGAAGGGTGATATTTGGCGTCAGCTGGAGAGAGATTCCGTTCTGAAAATAATAATCAATTATTGATTCATGCATGACGATCATATAAATGCTACATTTAGGCAGATGCGAATGTGTTGAGAATTAAGAACACATCAACAGCAGTTTGTAAGGTGCCAATTTAAAGGACGAATTCACGCTGAAAAAGCAACCCATTTCAAATTAACCTAGGGATGGTGAGTGGTACACGAAAGAAGGAAGAACCATGAGAAACGGCCCAGAACCCGAGATTGATGCGACTCTCATCGCTGTGCCCTCTTCAACACTACGCTCTCTCAGCTATCTAATCACTCGCCACGTATTGAACTACGGCGAGTGATCAGATGATCGGTGGGCGGAGATCGCCGGACCCGCCAACTTTGAGGCATGATAGGTCGCCGAGGTCAAATTTTTCGATGCGAATTGCGCGTCAGTTCGCACCCTCAGGAGGTCCGTGGGTCCCTCAACTAGGTCAATTACTTCTTCCTTCGACCTTCATTCTAATCGTGAATTCCTCCTTTAATTCAAGGTTCATCAAAGGTCATGTGTATCATTCACTACTGAGTTCTTCGCTCTTTTTTTCCAACGACAATTCCCTAGCTCGCGTCAAAAGTATATCCTAAATCTAGCACAGGTACCTTATGTTGGGGCCTTATTGCGTCATTTTCCCAGGGCAATTACAACTTTCGAAGCAGACTAGCTTGCATGAAGTTTTGAATTTGTTTGCGAGTTGAGAGTTTTGGAATTTTTTCCTTTTCCAGATTTCCATGGAGGAGCTAGGGAGGACTTTCTAATGAAATATGCGCCGTCCGTATGTGCTCTGTGCTTCGTTTCGCTAGGTATAAAACCTCTTTGTTCCATGCAGACAGCAAAAAGAACGGAGCACAAGCGATGGTATTGATAATCCAAATATCCAAGAACACTATAATAACTCTGAATTCCCCCCGTAAAACTGTCACAACTATTAGGGACGGGGAAGTAACGCGTGCAAATGTGCTGAAAACGTGGAACACACAAACAGCACCGATGGTCCCGCCTGCCGCCGTATGCCGTCCTGCAGATGAACTTTTCCAGGAACTGTTTCTCTTCGGTATGTCATTCCTTCCGTTTGTGGCTTGGTGCACGTTTTCTGCACCTTTTTTCTTTTCGTTTTTCTGGATGCGCGACTTGCCATGGACAAGGGAACTCCGCGATACCAAGAAAATAGAGCCTAATACTAGTACACGTAACTTGTCAACGACCTCTGGAGACAGCTAGAAACCAATGCCCAACATCATGGCTATTTGGGCTACCGTGCGGTAATCTCGAGACAGCTAAATATGTATTACTCGGACGACATCTTGAAGCCACAAGTAGGGATTGTGTCCCAAGAGCCAGTACCTTCTAAAGTGAGAAAGAGGGGCCCCAAGACAGGAGGCACAACACTGTCGCGACTCAAAAGTGCGAGGCAAAGGCGCTAAGACCTTGCCTTGTGTGTGCTGCCGTGCTGCCATCCCTATCAACCGCTCCACACGCGGTCTCTGTGCCCTCACGGCGCACTGTCAATGGCGTTTTCACTCTTTTTGAAGCGCTATGTCTTTCTATCGTACCATTTCCAGCCTTGTAAGGGAAATTTAGTGTTTTCTACGGTGCTTTTTGCTTTTTTCCTCACTAATGTTCCTCATTGCACTTCCTTGCCTAATTTTCAAACAAACATGCATTAATTCAATCCCAGCTCGTACCTCTAAGGCATGATGCATGCACATCCGTGCTTCTGGCTCCATACAAGGGAAACTGCTTGAGGATGTCGATAGCCGGATTCTTCAAGAAGACCACACGCTCGCTCGCAACGCCAGTAGCTCCTCCGCGGCGTACCCCCTCGAAGAACAGCCCGGAATTGGACTGCGCGAGTGGAAGGTTTTGCTCTGTTGTTGGTGTACTCAAAGAATGCTTTCCTTCGAAATGCCTCTTGCCGGACGGACTCACTCTCAGCCAGCGTTGGCAGACGCTATTCAGTGGGACATCTCAAAACGCGACAGCGTTTGCCTTCTTCACGATGTTCGTCCACACGTCGTTACGAAGTTTCTTCAGAGCGCTGCCGAATTAAGATGAGAAGTAATGCCTGCTGTTTATTGTCGCCGGACCTGGCTCCATCAGACACCACCTTTTTCCCATCAAGCATAATCTACGCGATGATCATTCAAACAGAGAATTTCAAATGCTCAACTCGTAGACGCGACAAAAGTCGGAAATCAGTCCGCAGAACTTTCAAAACAGTAGCTGGCATATCCACATTATGGTAGCTACTGCTTTGGAAAGTTTGTGGGCTGATGTGGGGATTGAGCGGAGCTAGAGTGTGCAATGGTCCTTTGAAATGGTTTGCGTATCATCGGCATACCCCATCCTGCTGCCTATGTGTAAATGCAAAACACATGTCATTTTTGTAAGAGTAATTGAATTTCGCTTTTAGAGTATCGAAAGACGTCTTACTGCTTCGAAGGTAATTCAGAGTGCAATGATGATAACTTCCATCGGATATAGTTGTATGCATCCAAGTATCCTGAATGGATTACCTTCGCTAACAATGATGGAATGCTCTGGTTAGTCACTTTTGAAGGGCTCCACTCTGAGTGCTGGTGAACCTATCCCTTTGGTTTTCGTGGCGCAACAGTTCGCAACGGAATCGCGACGGTGTTCCAAACTCACTTCGAGCGTTTCCATTTTTCCTCATCTACAGTATTCGGGGTTCCGTACCCTCTCATTCTCTCTGTTCTCTACCCCTACTTCTCCTTTCCGCACTCTGTTTCATTGCCTTAGCACAGCCTGGACTTCAAATATGTGTGGACCCTCCATTATGCGTTTTCGACACTCTTCTCCTTGCTTCCTCACAACCGGTAGGCCGATGTCATAGTTTGCGAATCGAGCGATTCGCTAGCGAACCTGGATCAAGCGTTGCGCCAGCGAACTTTGCGCCAGCGAATCGAACGATGCACCAGCGAGTCGAACTATGTACCAGCGACTCAATAGTGGCGGGACCCAACGTTCAAAGGAAGTCTCGCCACTTTCAAACAGCGTCCACTGTCAAGTTTGAAAGTGGGATTTTCCTTTAAACGTTGGGTCCCGCCACTATTGAGTCGCTGGTACATAGTTCGACTCGCTGGTGCATCGTTCGATTCGCTGGTGCAACGTTCGATTCGCTGGCGCAACGCTCGGATCCAGCGATTCGCTAGCGAATCGCTCGATTCGCAAACTATGACATCGGCCGTATAATTTTCCCACCTATCTTCACTTTCTTTGCGAAAATCTCACCAGTTTGATCGTGGGTGGTCTCTAATTCCCATTTTCCATTTTTACCATTGGTCAGCATGAAATAAGTATGATCACAACAATGAGCCTAACAAATTTTTCGCTCCGCACTTCCAGCTCCACTTATTAGCCTGTACCAGCTGCTGTCCCTTTTCCCTGGCCATTGCCAACGTCCTTGTCCTGTCCTGTTCCCCACAACTTATCATACATAAAAGCAAATGTTGTGTTGGCAACACAAGGAGCTATAAGTTCAATGACTCTTGCTTTTCGAAGTACTCTACAGCTTTATCATCCTTATTTACCATTTCTTGGCATCAACCGTCTTTGTATTAATCCATTTCATACACCATAAACATTACAAAAAATATACATCAAATTATTACACCAAAAACATTGCACATTCGGGCGCTCATGTCCTCGGGGGGGGGCATTCGGAACAGGGCATTCAAAAACCTCTGGTAGGTGACACCAGGACTAGCATAACAAGTGCAGGAACCACGGATAGAACGAAAATTGCTGACATGCTTTCCTCGTAGATTTCTTTCCCTACTTAGAGCTTAGTCCCAGGTACTGTGAATAGCTCACTCACTTGTATGTCCCCCCCCCCCCCACCGACCACGAGCGGCCCACATTCAACGGGTGCACAACGACTTCGACGCTGCCCTTCCAGTCATATCATCACTTCTATTATTTTTGTCAGGTCTTACCTCAATTAGAGCGGGAGACATCATGATTGCGTTTTTCACAACAAACTAGGTAACCCGAGCCAGGGAGTTACCAGTCTACCGGAGGGGGGGGGTGAGCGCCACACTTTACATGACGAACTGAATTGTCTGATAGTCACACTTCTTCGCCGAGGAACTGCACTTCATTATTTCCTCCATAACTGGAAGACGCTCTTGCCATCCAGATTCTTCTCATCCCATCCCTTCATATCATTTATTCTTACAGTAAGACTTCGTATGAACTTTTTAGGGTTATGAAAGGCGAAAATGTAGTTGGGGGGGGCACCCTATCTAATCGAAGTGAAGCTGCGGAAAGACACTCATATCTAATCAAAGTAGAGTTGCGGGAAGGCACTTATATCTTATCATATCTTTCACTGAGACCGTGGCCACTGGACTAGTACGCTTACCCTTGTCATATGGTCTAGGGCTAAAATGGCTGCTACCCTGCTGGCTCCTTCACTTTCATCAAACCTTCTTGCGACTGCCATGCAAGCCCTCGAAGAAAGGGCCTCCCAGGTATCCGATTTTGTATGGAATCCGGATTGGTATCCCTATCTAATCATACACTCAGAGACTGTGCTCTGGATGGTGATTAGATATGACCGCCCTTCCGCAGCTCCACTTCGATTAGATATTGCCAGTTCGATTAGATATTATGAGTGGCCCTCCCAAACTACATTTTCACCGGGAAGAGTGTTGTGCACTTAGTGGTACACACAAAGGAACACACATAAACAGGCAAGCAGACACGCGGACACGCAGACACACACAGACAGACAGTCATTTCGCTCAGAACATATAGATAACAGAAAACTGTTGGAAGAACTCCAGTAGATAACTCAAGTCGGAAGACAACGCACAGCTAGCGAAGAAAAATTTCCGTTGCAGAGATCCGTATTGCATGGACACAGAATGTCATGGGATTGATCTCCATACCAGCAAATATCGGATTTTAAATACTGTAATAATAAAATTCTATCCAGTTATTGCTCGTAAGGCATTACATTGTACTAAGCCTACTTTATCCGCGGTTTCATGTACAAGAAGTTGTCCTTCTTTTGTGAACTCGCAGGCAGCTCCTACTCTGTATGAACACATTCGGCCTGGCTGCAATATGACAAAGGTTACGGACGGTGTGGGCTAAGTTTCAAATTAGGAACTATCAGATTGTCCCATATTTTTTTAAAGATTCTAGGTTGGGCGATAAGAAATGTTGCCTGCCTTTGTGCCGTTCTTCCTTGGCTATCTACAGCTTCTTATAATGATTGATTATTCATTTGAGAGTTGCCATTTTTTCTATCTGACATACGTTTCCTAATGATTTTTTTTGCTCAATTTATTCAACCCGCTATACACACCAGAACAATATAATACAACACATGATTGCACCTGAGGTACAGGTGAATTATTTGCTGCTTACCCTAGGGCAGCTACCCAAAACTCATGCAGCATTCACCTTGCTGCACAAGCGCGCACTGCAGGGAAGGAAGGCCCAACTGCTCCGCTTTGCGGCTAAATTGTTTTCGTGTCATCCTTCACCTTCTGCAGCGATGGTGCTCCGTAGAAAACGTCCACTTTCTCGTCGTAGAGTGTGCAGCGAAAGCGACAAGAAGACACGTCGAATTGACGAATTGGCCGATAAAAAGCGACACCTCACGTCCCAGCGCCAGCGTGGCGAAACCAATGCAACGTGCAAAAGAACTGCCTCCGAAGACATGGACTTGGTCGCGTATTTCTTTCAGTCAACCTCCATAGTGATTGAATTGGCATTGTGGCAGGAGCTTACAAGCTGACATCACACAGTTTTACGCTCAGGTCCTTCCGCCAACTCTGTAAGGGCTAACTCCAAACATTTACGTCATGAGTAGTCTGGGTTGAACAATGACGCATAGCCCTCTGGCTTTCGTCACATTGTCAGTCATTTTAACGTTTTTTTTGTTGTTAGGCATTTTTTATCTGGATGTGTCGGTGTACTACATGGGTACTTGCACTGTAATACAAATCTGCGATGTTGTCAACACTTTCTGAGCATGCCGAAGAGCAGTAGTGAATGATATGCATTTAGGATAGGAGACGTGCCCTTTTTGGGATTGGAACGTATCTTCACATTTAGCTGGGAGTTCTCTTCAAGATAATCTGACTATATGTTGAAGAGTGTGGCAATTGTTAATTGCAAAACGTCTGCACGTGCCAGCGCGGAAATGGTGACCTAAATTGTGATGATCTGCACGATTTCTTCCCCGTGAACCGGAAGCACTACCGCTGTGCTTATGCTCTTCATAAATCCTTTCATAGAATGATCGGCAAATTCGAAAGGATGAGATCATTAATTCAAAAGGCGTATAGTGCTGTACATCTTATAATATGTGTTTGATTCACCCTTTCAGAGTAACATAGTTCTAGTGTTTATCCATTTCAGTGCGCAAAATGTATGTGCAGAACTGAAGCAGCACACTGATAGAATGCGAAGTTTGGCTATCGGAAGAAGAAAGGATGAGCAGAAATACTCACTGCGACTTTCACTATGGTAAAGTTCGTTTCAGTACCTCTGTAACATCGAAGGTTCGCTCTAACTGATGAGATTAGAAGACCTGCTACCACCAGAACTGCAAAAATTTTGAATTTTAGGATGAGATATGGTGGAAAGCAGCATGTGTGTATGCATGAGATTAGCTTTTCTTGTAGCTCTTTTTGTACAGATTGAGAAATGTATTAGCGATATCCTAATGTTTCTAATATTTTTTCCTAGGTTAGATCGAGCCTTGCTCATCGTGTTAAAGTCTATTCTAAGTAGTCTCTATTCACTTCTCAGCACTTCGGCGACAATGATACTCTATGTCCGGTGACATCTTTTCTGTTGTGAAACTTATCAACCAATACCGGGAGGCACTCTAGGCTCTTTCAATGCTTGCATTTTTCTCCTTTTCAGATCTCTTCTTTAGTTGTGTAACCAATAATGATGATTTGCATTGTGTTTGTCTCAAAAAGAAAAAAATAAAACTATACAAAAGATTGAGATTCATCGGAAGACTTCTCACGTGTTTGAGCGCATTCATTACACAGTAAGCGCTTACGTGAATCACACTGAGCTCTCACGTTTTAGTATGCGATTCAGTGCAGGGAGAAGTATGCTCGTAGAAAAGTTGTCATGACAGCTCTGAAGGCGTACGAAGAATGATACACCTTTTCAACACACTTTGTTGTATTAATTTGAGATGGTAGTTTTTCTTCATCAATTCTTTTTTAGTTGATATCTTGAAGAAGCGAGCTGCATCCTTTTTCACTGACGGTAGAACGTTCGCCAGACTTCTGCGACACATAATCTTACATACTCCTTTGTCGTACGTCTAGAGGTGTATATAAAGCTATATAATCACATGTCAGCGACTCCTTTCATTTCGTTATAATTCTGTTCAACCTCCTTCTTGCTTGTTGAGTGAGCGATCGCTTGGAGAGAAATGCGAAAGCACCCCTTGTGCGTCTCTAGTTTAACACTGTCTCTTTACCATGTTCTCTTGTTTTGATTGGTATTGCTGGACTCTTCTTGACCTCTACATCGTAGGGAATTCCTGTGCGGTCTCTCTGATTACTACCACCGGATTGGTGTGCCTTTTACTCAGTGATCCAGCAACGAGTATACTGTTGTACCAGTTATCTGTAGATTGATTCCTGTCATAGTCCAGGTACCCTTTCACAAGTTCCACCACGTCAGATTCCTGAAACTCTTCTGGCGTTCTTGCCTGCATGAACATTCAGTTTCCGCGCATATTTGCTTCTGGAATAGTTTGTTTTATTCCGCTCTTGAACCCTTCCGATTACGTGGATTACTGAAACACAACTCAACCGTGGAAAGGTAACATAGACTGGCCGATAGTTTGCCTGGTACAAACATCTTCTAGAATGTTATCTATAGATATCCAGGATGGGTTCGGGTTTAGATATGCACGCTAGTGTCGTTGTCATTGCCCACAGAAGGAATTTTTTTCTTCTTAGAGTTGTTTTATTTTCGTTTTGTTTACCTTATGTTTCCCAATGTTTTACAGACTTCATGCACCGGTTGCAAGCAGAACCTTTCATGTTGTACTCTAGAATGTGTAGCTGTCGCTTAGCTTCGACTTCTTCAACGTATACCGATGAACGCTATGATTTTCAGACTTGAACAAATCATCAGGCAAACTTCGTTTAGCATGGTCCTGCCACCAGAGATGATAAGCGGCATGAGTGGTGGGTGGGCTGGACTTTGATTTTGTTTTGCATGTCTTCATTCTGAACACAGCATAGGAGTGTATGACCCATACACCATTGTAGCATCTCAATCTTCTTGGGAGCATATGCTCTCGTTCCTCATTCTGCTTCACTGCTGTAGCGTGGTTGGAACTAGCCACGGACATTTGTTTCATAACATTCTCATTGAGTTTCTCCTCAGCTGATCTATAAGCAGAGCACCATCAGCGTAACCCTGCAAAGATCCGACACCTCCCTTTAGGGAGTAGCACATCATCTTGGAATTTGCGCCACAACCTTGAATGAAGATGCTCCAGGGCGAACGCTGAGATCATGCGCCCGGTCTAGTTGGTTGTGCTCGTCGCATCGTGGATCGATTGATACTTCTCATAAACCTTCAGAATATTCTAACAATGTTAGGTGGATCAGCTTGCCCGCATATACTCCTGGCCTTTACTTGCTACATATACAAGGGGAGGGGCAAAAAAAGCAACATCCTGCCCATGACGCACACCACCAAACTTTAAGTTGCACAGGGTGCCGCTGTTGATGGAATTTTTACTGCATGTAAATCCTCAGATGTATCCCATGAGCAAAAGCAAGTCCTCGTTCACTGCCCTCACCGTCTCAGAATTATGGTCGTTCATTGAGCCATCCGTCTGTGTGTGGTTGTGTGGTGTGTGTGTTAGTGGAGGGTACGCAAGACCGCTGCGACGAGCCCTTGCAGGCGAGCGTACGTCTGCGTTCCACGACCCGCTCGAGGACCCGATTACCTTGAACCAGCACACCATGGTCTCTGTAGCATATCTTGTCTTGAATAATGAATGTGCTCTTTTGTTTTCAGCTCCGATTTTTTCGGTTTGAATATAGCAGAAAGTAGTTGATTCTGTCTCACTCAATAATGAAAAGCACATTCCCCTCCATGATATAGAGGTCATATTAGTCATTTACATCTGCGACATCGAAAGAATTTGCCATGAGAACGTCGTGCACGGTTCGAGTCAACTTGGTCCTCAACGGATTCTGAAACATTACGATGTTATCTGAGACGCTGGTTGTAGTCTGGGGTCTGGCATACTCTGAGCTTCTGTTTGTAGGAAGCTAGTTCTCAGTTCAAAGATTGATGAAATTATGTGGCTGCTCCAGGCTGTCTCGAACGCGGAAGATGGGCGGCGGCTGCAGATGACGTCATATTCTGGAGAAGATGAGGCAGCAAACAGGTGCTTGCGTCTGCTCACCAAGGGATCCACCATCATCACCATTCATCCCATGATCGATCACTGACCGAGTTAATGGTCACTGATATGTGGCATGGCAAATGGTTTTTCGCCACACTTGTATATAGACGACTTTCAACATATTTTCCATAGGGAAACAGACAGCGACTCTCTAATTAAGGAGATTCACCCGTGCAGCCCAAGCCCGGACAGCAATCGAGAACGTTAGTTGCCTGTTCGCTGCTTTTTCCGAGGCTCGTGAGAAGATTCCTTTCGAGTCCCAAACAGCACAGCATAACCTTCCTCGAGTGCTGTCCTGGCTTGGGCTGTACGGATGAAGTCACGCCTACTATCTATAGTAGCCAGCTTCAGGAACTCGCTCATGCAATCGAAGAGAAGCGATCGAAAAGGGCTTCTGTCCATCTTCTGCATGATATCGCTCAACCTCATGCTCGCAAAGATCACCCAGTAAACAGGTCTCCAGAGCCCACCTCCGTTATTCCCCTTGACCTCGCACCTTCTGACTATCATCTCTTTAGTCACCTCAAGCATTCCCTGGCCATGGAGAAATTCGTCGCTTTTGGTGACCTTAACAATACTGTGGCTGCCTTCTTTGACTCAGAGTCCTCCTCCTTCTGGGAGAAGGGCACAGCCGACTTGCCGCTTACGTGAATGAATGTTATAGATAATTACATATGTTTGATATGGTGATTACATATGTTTTATTGAGGTAAGGTTTGAATAAAGTTGTAAAGGATTTTAAAACGCGCATCCGAGTGCCTCCACAGACTCTTGCACCAACCTATACGTGAAGGTACAAATCTTGTTCTCTTCATAAACCGTGGTTGCGTTCATGCTCTTATCCGCCCTAATCGACCTTTGCTAGCTGTTATCACTACCTACCATCCACTATCAATCCTTGCGTATCATCTATTTAAGTACACGCGTAAGTGATGCAATGGCTCATCACGCGGCATAAGTTACTCAATGTGTTTCACTCATTACAGGTCCGCTCGTGTCACCATTTTCCTTTCTAGCTTAAGCCAGGCAAAAACACACAAACCAAGGCCCTTGCCTGTGCAAGCAAGTGCGAAGGGTTCTTCACTATCTACGAGGTCGGGATCCACTAAATCGAGCTGCTCACTGTATTGACGGAGATTGTAAAGCAACAAAGTTTCAGATAATTCAACGTGACGCCACGTCTCCAATTGAAGCGCTTCGTGAGAGATGTCGCGAGCTTGTTTTCTTCAAGTTCTGTTCTGTGAATTGTGTGAATTCAATTGTTCTTCGAATAAGGAATGCCTCTCACGCTGCTCTGACACGTTCAGAAGAAGAGAATAGTAGTGCTGCCATACCCCTGACGAAGATCTCAACAGATTTGCAGTAGACCTTTCCCTGATAAAACTAGAACAGCTGGCTTACACTCACCACCGTCCAGTGAACCGCCCCGCATTGTTAGAAAATGAAACTCACTAGAGTGATGGTTTTTTAGTGGATCTGTTATCTGTTGTTGATCGTTCTGTTTTAACCGCGTTTGTCATGTATCTCATTTGATCTCAAAAGAAGGTATAACTTGTTCTTCAACCGCGTGCAAGGCATTGCAGCCGTCCGTTTGACCGATCGAGACGGAATGGGGAGGAAGATGGGAGTGTAACTGACTCACACAAGGGTCTCAGGACATCTGTCAACCGTGAGCCTTGGGCGGTTCAGCGTTTTGTAGTGATGTCTGGGAGCTCTCACAAGTGCACACTATCACAGCATCTCCTCTTTCTTTATCTTCTTCAAAAGGCTTAGTCCCAATAAGACACAAAGTGTGTGCTTTTCCAGCTACTACGCTCTCACCCTTTGGTTGACAGAAGCCTTGTAACCCTCACAACACGAGAAGAGGCTGATAAACGCAAGAATCATTTAGACATGAGTGCCACTTGTCGCTACTCCAAAATCAAATTTGCAGAGGTGCTGAGTCGAGCTGTCGTTGGTGGCAGCACTGGTTGTTGCTGAAGTAGAGCCATAGCAAGAAGAACTGGGGAAATAAGAATTGTCGTCACACACCTCTCCACTTACCCAGGTTTTAGGTCTCCGCGTCTCAGGGCGACTAGAGACCCACCAGCGCGAGCGCGCTGTGCTGTTTCGCAGAGTGCATGCTCACCCACCACCCAGTCTGCCCACCTGCCGCAGTTTTCCCGTCGCCAGGCTTCACGACAGGAATGCACGACCATTATTCATCTTATCAGCCACCTAGCTTTTTTCGCACGTTTAGCTTATCTAGTTCTGCTAACAACCTATCCCGACGCACCTACACTCAATGAACCAAGGCGGTCGAACGACGACAAACTGCTCGAGAGTCACACTCCCACCCCTCACCTCTTCCCCAACAAGACATAGACGGTGTCGATGTCGATCCCAATGTCCAACGCACGGGTGTTCGATCGCGACAAGCTTATACTAGGGCAAATTTGAAACAACGGTGGCAGTCTCTCTACATTGCAGCGTAACATTCTCCATAGCTGGAATAGATCACGTCTGAAATTTCAATTTCTCTATAGAGATATTTTCTAGATTTTAACTAACTTTACGGAGGAATAGTGAAAAAGAAATTATCCCGCTTCATCTGTATGACTCGCAGGACAACCTTACCTGTGAAGCCCGCTCCCTTCTTTCGTGTTTATAATCTGCTTCACGGAAATTATCAGATACTAGGGGCAAGTTTATTAAATGCCACGACCCTCGAGCATTAGCCGATTACCAGACCAAGCGATGCCCGCCGACGTGAAAATTGTGACCGTACCACACCAGTACTCCTAGATATACTTGCGGCACTTACTGTGGTTCGGACAATGTTTCCCTCCGGATGTCGTGAACGCACTGCCGACAATAGCTGCGCCCATAACACTGTCACCATCATCACACTGAAGGATGGGGACAAGGAAGAGCCATCAAAAGCACAACACAATTTTGGCATCAAGGTTTTGATTTGGAAGAATTCCACAGTGAAGTTGAGAGGAGTCATGAGCATGCTTTTGCTGTTGACGACAGCCTTCCCGCATAAGAATGATTTCACCGGTCGTAGACTTGCTATAGCCAAGCCAGCCTTTTAGGAACATGACATTAACAGTATTATCATATTGACAATCATTGTGGCTCCAAAATGGCAAAGGGTAAAAAAGTCCGTGAAGCAGGTGGTTCCGCACTTGGGCGACTGGACCACAGCCAGGCAATATACGGTCTTACACAGAGGCGGTCGTTCCATTCGTCACACGTACATAACAATACCTATAACTTCGGTATGCATTGTTACTTTACGACCGGCAAAATGCTCGACTTTTTTTGCGATTGCTAAAAGCCATCTCTCTAATTGTTAGACTGCGATGAGTCTTCAAAAACTGCTCCAAAGCCGGAATTTCAGAAGATTGATTCCATGGGAGTGATGCGACCCAGCTTTTGAAACCATTGTCAGTTTCCCTCCTTACTGCATGGCCCCTCAGCCCACACGTCTCTGCGAATCGCCAGTATGCAGCACATGAAGGTTTTGTCTCACATATTTTAACTCTTGCGGCTCCCTCCTTCCCTCCACCATATCCCCCTTTTCAACATCTTTACCCACAACATTTTGAGCTTAACAAAAAGCATTCAAACGTTTAACTCCGCGAGGTACCGCGTATGACACCCGGGAGCCGAAGCAAACCATACTCTACAAGTCTTACTGTGAATGTGGGACAGCGAGGACAGTATCGTGGGCCGGATCGCCAGCACCACTCGACTTAACGGACTGATCAAGGGCAGATAACGGCGCGACGACGCTGAAGTCGCTCGATTCTCGTAGCCTGGCTCGTTCGAATTTCACTATATATGGAGCGGCTAGCGTGTGTCTGTTGGTGTGTGTGTGTGTTTGACCGGAAATTCATAGCTCGAGTCACAGTAACGATAGCGCAGTGGTTCTTACATATGTTATAGGGGGTGGGATGGGGACACAAGTGGTACGTGATAGGAACTGATAACGACTGATAATAGCTGATAAGAGGGGCTAGAAAGCGAGCATCGCCAATTTCGTTTTGCCGTTCATATTGGTAAAAGCGTCTATACTTACAAGTCTTATGTGGGGCGGTCCCGGGACATTGGTGGTACATGATTGGAAGCGATAGCAACTGATAATGGCTGATAAGATGCGCTAGAACGCAAAAGTCGTCGATTCCGTTGCCTGGCTCGCGTTGACACCAGAGCAACCATACTTACAAGTGTTATGTGGGGTGGGACGGGGACATTGTTGGTGGGTGCCAGAAACTGATAACGATTGATAAGGGCCGATAAGGCGCGCCAGAACGCTGAAGTCGTCAATCCTATTCACCGCTAAATTATCTGAATTCAAGAAGAATGCTGGATGTTTACAGTTGTGAGATAAATATGCCAGTTCAGCTCCAGACGTTATCACGCGTATTCTCGATGAGCTTCAGTGAAACTGTGGAGGGTCTAACACAGTCAATAGTGAGATGGTTAATGGAGTATCTCATGCTGATATTCCATGGGTCCTCCAATTTCGCTAAAGCCTGCCGTGTGATGCGCGCGATAGCGGGCGAAGCAAAACTGGTAATGAATACTGGGCATTCCGTTTTGAGATATTCGACCGCTAAATTACCTCGATACTCGACGCATAGTGGTTGTTTACATCATCACTTTAGCTGTGCACTTCACTGCGCTTATCAAACAGTGAGATACAGCCAAGATGGGCCTATGCAACGGACAGTAATACATTTAACGAAGCAGCTATAATTTAGCGGTGAAACCTAAAGCTTCATCGATTGTCAGTTCTATCAATGCGCGCGGTAGCGGGCGGAGCTAAACTGGTTAAAGCATATATGACCATTCTAAGGGCCACTATGTTTGTAGCTACGTCAAGGTCTCTTCCATGGAATGAATACAAGAAACTTCTAAAAGAATCAGGCGTGCGCGAAAAAAATGAGTGTAATGGGTGCGGGGGATATATATCCCGCACGGTCCGACATGGCCTGCAATGCGCGGGATATACAGTAGCGGTCAAAAGTTTGGAAACTTTTTTATTTTTGATCTAGCGCAGCCATTAGCAATGAAATTGCCTCAAATTCACATATTACATACAAAATGGGTGTAGAATACGATGGGCATTGTAGCTTCCCGTAAACCGAAACCGTATTCAAAAAATACGGTTTCGGTTTTCGGTTCATCTGAGCTCCTGTGGCCTGTACTGTGTGATCTTTGCGACGTGAGGCCAAGCGTTATCATGCAGAAGATGTACAGAAACCCTTCTCGGTCGCTTTTCTTCGATTGCATAAGCGAGTTCCTGAAGCTGGCGACTGTAAATGGTAGCCGTGACTGCCTGGCCTTGAGGGAGCAACTCATGGTATAGCATTCCCTTTGAGTCCCAGAAGCAGCACAGCAAAACCTTCTTTGAGTGCTGTCCTGGCTTGGGCTGCACGGGTGGATCTTCTCCTTTTGGGAGCCAGACAGCGACCCTCTTGTTGTTGTCGTAGAAGATCCAGCTTCATCCCCGGTCACCAGATCCTGCAAAAACTCCTTCCGATTTGGGGTAAGGAGGAGCGACTGCGCGATTGAGACACGCGTGTGACGCAGATCGTCGGTCAGTTGGTGCGGAATCCATCGAGCAAAAACTTTCCTGTAACCGTGCTCGTGAAGGTGTCGAACGACGTTGCTGTGATCGCACTCGAGAAGCTCCGCCAATTCCCTGCTCGTAGCCTCCGGCTTCTCCTTCACCTCGCTGAGAAGTCGGTCGTCTTCGAAACAACTGGTCGCCCGGAGCGGTGGTAGTCGTCGAGCATCGTATCTCCATACATTCGATATCTGAAAGTTGGGGTAGGCGTGTCACCGGAAGTGACGTGCACTTGATAGAAGCTATGTGGATAAGCTGCTTCCAACATACATCGCTGGATATCAGCAAAGCATGCTGGCAACAGCTTATCCACGCAACTTCTATCAAGTGCACGTCACTTCCGGTGACACACCTACCCCAACTTCGGATATCGAGTATACTACAAAGCTTAAAGGAAGCGTCACGCTGGCTTCCACGCTGGATTTGCTACCCTCGCGTTATCAATCGATAAGGTGTGAGGCAGTAATTGTTGGACGAGTGTAAGCCCATGGAAGATATGATACGATGAGATAAGAAGGTGCGGCTGCTTGATAAGAGGTGCACTCCAGAATGAAAACGGGACGATAACGATAACGGTATCATATCTAGCACGCTCTTATCGCACCCCTTTCCACATCGATAAGTCTTGGTTTTTGCTGAACGGAAGTGGATTTCGGCGCCTTATCACTCCGTTGATAAGGCGCCACTGCCACTGAAACTTCACGTGTTCTAACATTGGGCAGGACCTCTATCCACTCCAATACATACTTTTCTTATAATTGAGCAGGACCTCTA